GGGGGGGGGAAAGATGCATTTCCTTTGTGCATATGCAAAGTGAATGAGACTGTTAGGAGCTTGCTTGGGCAAGATACTGACAGAACATTTACAGGATTTTAAAAAAAAATTGTTTTAAAGATACGTTTCTAGGTACAGAAGAACTTACTTCCTCTCTCAGATACTGTCATCCTATATAGAGAGACAATTGCCAGTTAACAAATCTGAGTCAAACATTCATCCACCCATATCAAGCACTGATCAGGAAAGGACTCTAGCCTCCTGGCAATTCACTTACAGCCAGAATGTGTACATATAGCACTTGGACAAACCACAACATTTCCATCAAGATTTTGTATCTGGAATGGCCAGTGCTTTGGAACCATGAGGAGGAAGCAGCCCCTAGGACAAAGCAAGAGTGTCACATGGGGGCTGTTAGAAACAAGAGAGGGCTGCCTGCAGTGACTGAACACTGCCCCTTAGGACATGCTCTCTTGCTGTTACATCTCAGCTTTAACCCAGGATGTTCTGCACAATTTTGCCTTGCAGCTTGTCCTTTTATCTGAGCAGAGTACTATCTTTCTAAATACAAGTGTTTGGATTTCAGTACAACTCAGAAGTTTGAGGTATTTGTCATTTGATTTAGAAGTTTACAGGTACCATAGCCAATACAGCTTCTCAGAATTTACTGTCTCACATTATCTAAAATGTGACAACACTGCAAAGAACACCGCTGGCTTATCAGACTCTGAAGTGACCAGACACATGCTCTCCCCCTTCTGAACTCCAGTACTAAAATTAATTTATGCTAATACTCGTTTCCCCTCTGCCATCAGATTTTTAGACTTTTTTTTTTTTAAGGATAGATTTGAAACTTTTCGAAACTGTTTGAAATAAGAGGCAGACCACTGAGTTAATTTACATACCTGTTAAGATCAACATGCTGGTAGAGTTCTAAGGCCTTTCCAAAGTATTTCTTCTGAGAATTAAGTACCTGAAGCGTGGCTGCACATGTGCCATGTTTCTCCCACTCATGTTTCCTTTACGAAGAAGGCAAAATTTAAGTTTTAGAAAACACTATCTGCAGATATATTTGTTGCACAATCTAGTCAATATACTTAAGCATCTGAAAGGCTACATGTGTCAAGTAGGACAAAAAATACTGCACATGCTAAAAGCAAAACGAAGATCAGTTCCACCATTTCAATTATAGCAACATGCACTACCACAGCATTCTCTGACCTTACGATGCCTTAAGAACCTCATGGAAAAACAAAAGAAGCACAAGAACAACTATTACTGACTTGAAATCCTGCCTTTGAATTTTTAAATATGAATGGACAATTCAGTTTTTTCTTAAGGAATGAAAATACTTTAAAATAAGTTATGTTTGTGTCTAGAGAAATTCATATACTACTTCTGAACAGAGAATGAATGAAGAAACTGTGGTGTCAAGAAATTTGAGGCAGGGGAGAAGACATGTTACTGGAAAGTTTTCACCATGCATTCCCAAATTTAGCCTTGTAGAGAGTTCTCATCTTGGCTGTAACACTCAACTTGACTACACTTCAAGTGAATTGCCTGGATGAGTCCTCTTTACTTGGGCCAAACAGCAGATTTCCCAACAAGGGATTTGAAATTACTGATGACAAAAGAGACCACAGTTTTAAAGAAAATGGAAGCTCTTTTAGGGTTAAATCTAGCAAGAGATATTGAGCCCCTCACTTGGATCAGAAGCAGACAATAGTCAAATCCAAAGGACTTACACAGCAGTGAACTAGAGGCAAAGCTTCGCATATAGGATGACAATTTTTCTCTAGAGAATATATGCATGCATGTGTGCAAAACCAATGTTAAAGTGTTCTGCCTGTTGATACCAGGAAGCCGGTTGAAGAAAAACTCTAAGACTCAGAATCAGAGCTTTAGAAAGCAGGCATTCTTTATTGCAGCGCTGGGTGCACAGGGGATCACTCCTCCACAAGTGTGCACACCGAGCCCCTTAGATTTACCACTTAAATGCAGGTACCTTATACCTATTCATAGGATTGCACAACACAAACATACATATTTACTATTAAGGTGTGGTTAGTCCAAAAAACTTTATCAGCAGTTTTAAAACAACCATGTCACTCTTGTGCCTGCGCATCGCCTCCAGGTGGTGGTCTTCGGGGGTCTTCAGGAGGAAGGCCAGTAGTCTTCCTTGTCACCTTTCCCCCAATTTCAAAATCGCCAGCCCCTAAAAGCCAGACTCCTCTGTCTAAATCCTTCGTTGCCCACCTTATCTCAAGTGTGATGTCCGTTATCTTCTGTTGCCAGGGCCTGGGCCTAATCCTTTGGGTCATACAATGCACATTATCTTCTGTCACCATGGTTCCACATCTTCTGTCCTTGGGGCCTTTATCGATGTTTATGCGAGTTTCTTTCTTCATTCCTACAGCTCAGAAACTCCTTAGCTTAAACAGGCAACTCTTAGGCCTACTACAACCATCTTACTAGTTATGTACCAAATTTCTTAACATTTCATATATCACTGTCTTTTGAAGGTTTTTTGTTGTACTTGCATTAAGTATCCTGCTGTTTCCAGAAAGAAGGCAGAAATAGAGAGCCAAAGATCTGATGGTGCTCAAGAGCATATTATTGCTAACATGGAATCGCTATTGGAGTGGTTTGGTTCATTTCACACTGATCACAGGGCCATGGGGATCCCAGAGGAAAATACAAAGCTACCCATAGACAGTACTCATGCATCATCAGCTGTGGCAAGCCAAGAATATACCAGGACCAAGTTTTTTTTAATCAGTCCTGTGAGCTTCCAAAATGGAAAGCTACTTTAGAATCACTACAAAATAATTACTGAAACTTTAAAATTACACTTTTGACAGTGTTACTTTATTTTGCAGCACAGCCATGTGGAAAAAAAAAAAAAAAAAAAAAAGATGCAGATACAGCTAATTCTGACCATTCAGCACAGGCCTATGAAAGTTCACCTTCACATTCTCTATTTAAATGCAAACTGAAGCAGTTAGGAAATGTTGAAGATGCAGGTACCAGGGAATAACAAAATATTTTAGTTAGAAATCAAAAGAATTAATGTCTCAGCATTATTCACCAAGACACATTATCCTTCGCCTACACCATAATAAGACAAGGTAATACCACTTGAGCCTCAGCTCACAGCTGGGTGGAATATGGGTACAGAACACAGCTGCCTGTATTCATGAAGGCCACCCATCCTTCTGTACTTCTCATTCCCATGAGCTAGGCAGTAGCACAGAGCACATATGCTAGCTGTCAAGAACTTGGTTGAACATTTTTTCCTCCTTGTAGGACACAAGCACTTTGGCGGGCACACGGGAGTGGGGCTTGCAGCACCAGATTGGATTCTACTATATATCTTGTCCTTCACCATTTCCTCTATGGTACTGCTAAGAATAAAGGTATACCTCAAAGCTAAGTCCTACAAATGAAGTCTCAGGGGGCTGCAGAAATGCAAAAGAATGAAATTGGCACAATTCAGCTGTGTGGAAAGGAAGCTGAAACTCAAAGAGATTTTGCTTCCTGTTATATACAACAAGGACAGAATTCCCCCATGCACACGTGACAGACAAAATCGAGAATGTATAAGGTAAATCCAAGGATTATAGAAATCACCCAGCTCAAAGACTGGCTCATTATTAGGGTAGGAACAAAGAAAGTCTGTAAAGCACAGCTGAAAGTGCTGCCACAAAATGTAGAAGGTAAGGGACACTCAGCTGTCCTATAGGCTAACACTGATGCCTTCTTCTGTACCATACGTATAAACTCATCCTAAAGGAATTTTTCTTGGTCAAGAAATTTTTGTTTGGTCAAAGAAATTATTAATTACTATAAAGGGATGTTTTCAGTTAATAAATTTTGAGCTATAAAGCACACAACCCTTCATCCTGTATTAAGGCATTCTATCCTGTCCAGTTCAAACTCTTGAATGGCAATTGTCACAGTCTGTAAATTAACAAGGCAAACAGATATCTGCAATTATCTTTACAGAAGTACTCACAGCCATATTAAAATCACCAGGAAGATTTCTTACCTCCTCTTTTAAGCCAGGGCTACAGTTAGAGGTAAAGCCAGGAAGAAACATACTACACAATTATAGCAGTCTTGGAAAAATGGTAATGTCATATGCTAAGATACTCAGTATCCATTTTGCTTGTCACTGCTCATGCTCTTTACCTAATTAAGATGCCTTTAGTATACAATGAAAATTGCAAACAGTCAGTTATACTTTCAGATTCTTTTTTCTGTTCTATTGGGATTTTTACACTATAGGTTGTGTTTTTTTTAAATTTTGAAGTATGCTATTTTAACTGAAGGGAGAGGTACAATGGGATCTTACTGGCTTTCCGTTGACTTAAAGCTTGCATTTACAAAATCTGCAGTTAGAGCTGCCAATTACAGTGCACTTGTCAACTTACTGAAAGGGAATGAATTACTGTCAATCAAAATATTAGTGTTATAACCTCACTTTTGTATTGCTTTTATGATATTTCTATTTCCAGGTATTGAAATGAGTGCTATTTGCCAGCCTTGAAGTGAAAGGGAAAAGGTTTAGATCGTATCAGTTCATACTTGCTACCTACCAAAATATCTCTGTTAGTAAATAAGGACTGGTATGCACCTGTTTTTATGAGCAGGTAGGTGGTCAGGGCATGGGAGGTGCTAGATTTATGGCACATCTTTGTTATTCTAATTCCAGGAACAGTTCAAGGTGGCAAAAACTTGTGCTACCACAGAAAGAAGCAGTCATGCTCTCCCTGGCACAGTGCAAGAGGAGTGGAGGGAGGAACAAATGAGACCACCATTTTCGACAGTTACAAGTTTAGGTGGAACCATTCCAAAACTCTGAGGACCATCCTTATCCACCGAGTGGTCCATCTGTCAAATCCATGTCTCTTCAATTCAGAGACAAGAATGTCATGCAGGACAGTGTCAAATGCTTTGCACAATCCCAGATAGATAAAGCCAGTTGCTTTTCCTTTATCCACCAGCACTGTAACCTTGTTGTAGAAGGCAACCAAATTTGTCAGGCATTATTTGCCCTCAGTGAAGTAATTTTCGCTGTCACCAATCATCTCCTTGTTCTTCATGTGCCCTAGCATAGTTTTCAGGAAGTTCAACACCATGATCTTGCTGGGCACAGAGATAAGACTGACTGGCCTGTAGCTTCCCAGGTCTTCCTTTTTTTACCCTTTTTAAAAATGAGGGTTATATTTCCCCTTTTCCAGTCAGCAGGAACTTCACCAGACTTCCACAGCTTCTTAATATGACAGATAGTGGCTTAGTCACCTCATCTGCCAGTTCCCTCAGGACCCATGGATGCATCTCATCAGGTCCCATGGACTTCTGGACCATCAGGTTCCTTAGGAGAAGATCAGGTCTGAGACCACCTACAGTGGACAGTTCTTCATTCTCCCAGTCCCCACCTTTATCTTCTGTGACTTGAGCAGTGTGGCTGGAGCACTTGCCAGTGAAGGCTGAGGCAAAAAAGTTGTTAAGTACCTCAGCCCTCTCCATATCCTGGGTAATCAGGTCTCCCGTCTCCTTCTGGAGAGGGCCCACATTTTCCCAGTCTTCCTTTTATCACCAACATATCTCTAGAAGCTTTTCTTGTTGCCCTTGACATCCCTGGCCAAATTTAATTCTATCAGAGCTTTGGCCTTCCTAACCTGATCTTTGCCTGCTCAGATATTTTCTCTGCATTCCTCCCAGGCTACCTGTCCTTGCTTCCACTCTCTGCAGGCTTCCTTTTTGTGTTTGAGTTTGTCCAGGAGCTCCTTGTTCATCCACGCAAGCCTCCTGGTGTTCTTACCTGACTTCCTCTTCGTCAGGATGCATCGCTCCTGAGCTTGGATAAGGTGATACTTAAATATTAACCAGCCTTCTTGGGCCCCTCTTCCCTCCATGGCTTTATCCCGTGCTACCCTGTGAAGCAGAACCCTGAAGAGGCCAGTCTGCTCTTCTGAAGTCCATGGTATACATGGGGCTACGATGATTCAATGCATCCTATTTTTCTGTTTCTTCCTCTGTGAGAAAGCACAAAGTTTCTCACGGCCAGCAACAGTGTGAAGCTAGCTAGGAAGAGGAGTGGCCTGGAAGCTGCTCTTGCAGCTAGCTGTGACATCTCAGGAGCACTACTGCTATTCACATTTAATGTATTAGAAGCAGATGCTTCTCCTCCCTGGGGACAAAGGGAAGAAACACATTCTCTCTCTCTCACTAAGTTTCATTTCTTCAAAAACTCTGCCATAGCCCTCTCTTCAACAGCTGCATTTTGCAGGTGCTTTAACAAGAAAACAGCTTTATTTTGTAAATGGCACTGACAAGACACACTGCTTTCAGTGGCCTCCCAGACACATGAGAACATGTACAACATCTCACCTGAAGAATTACTAACTCAGACAGATTTTTTTAATAAAATAATATCCAAAATACTTTTTAGGTTTTATTGTACTCACCAGAACTGGGTGCGATTCAGAGATGAATGAAGCACATCAGGCCAATAGCGTCTCATGTCTGACATAAGATCCTAAAAATGTCACAGTCAGTAAATGCACCTACAGTACTGAAAAGCTGTTTCTTACACAATCTACATATATTGATACATTTTCTAGAACTGAAGCCTTATCTTTCAACATCCCTAACTGAAATATTTAGTCTCAGAAAAAGAAAAGGTCTTTCTCCTCAATATTCAGAAAATGCTATCATTGGAAGAAGCAGGTAGATAGAACTATCCAAGTATCTGGATGTATTAATACTGACACACTACCTCAAAGTAAGACTTAGCTTCAACTGTCCCTGGAGTAGTTGATGAATCCTGCAGCTTTTCACTTTTGTCAGCTCAAGCTTCCTATCCCTGTTCACAACACATCTGAATGAAATACGGAATTTTTTTGAATTTACATATATTAAAAGACTAATAAAAAACCTAATCCCCTGGGAGAAAAAACAGAAAAAAATGTACTTTGAACTCTTATTTAATGTGTTCTGGCTTTGTAGCAGAAAATGGAAGAGAGAACATGGGCTGACTACAACCTCTTTTTCACAGGTACTTTTTGCCGCTGCAGATCCACCTCTAGGGTTTTTTTAAGCAGGTTGCAGCTGAACCACACGTCTATAAAATCAGGTACGAACAGCTGCTCAAGATCACAAGTACTGCAATTCCAAGTAGTACCAGAAGCACCTAATAAATTTGTGAAGTCCTTAAAAGAAGATATTTTCCAGCAAACACTGAGAGTGATACATTATAAGCTACAGATTTTGCATATAGGATGCACAAAAGTAATTGCACTTAGCTCTGCTTGGTATTTTTTGTTTTAAATACCTTAATCTCGGTGACATTGAAATGCCATGTCCTATTACACTCTTCAGTTTTGTCAGGCCTAGGGAAGCAAAATAAAAGTGAAAAAAGAGGTCTCCTAACTCCCTAACGTTAACTAGCATAATTCTATTCTATATCATTAGCTTGAATTTTAAATATGCAAAATTATAGCTAGAGATTTTATTTAAAAATGCAAGTAACCCATCAGCATCTACAGAGTTTTAGAAGTAAAAATTCAAGACATTAATTAAGGCCAAAACATTCCCCATGCAGAAGCTCTTCATCAGGTCCTCCAGTCCCTCTCACTCTGTGTAAAAGACATACAGGTAGAGTAAATGATATGGAAGGATCTTGCACAAGACATCACTAATGACACTGACCTCCTCGACCACTGCACCAAGCAATGACTCCGCAAGTATCATCAAGACACCCGCTGCAAATCTAGACATAATGCTGTTCACCGTTCTAACACACATAGCTTAAACTCCTGTACTGAATTTTTCCCTGTATTTCTCAGAAAAAAATTTGAATGGCTGCTATTGGCACCAGTTCCAGTGAGTTGATTCCTCTGAAGCAAATCAGTTTCTCAACTTTTGCAGTATTTGTATTAAGGTACTTAAAGCCACAAGCAGTCATGAGACATTAACAAATTCTGTGTACTCAGGGAAAGAAAAAAAAAAAAAAAAAGAGGGGAAACTATACTTCCCTTTCTGTATGAGAACATTACTGATCTTACAAGGAGATACATAAATAAAATGCTCATGTGGCAAGAGAATTTCAGGAGCTCAGTGAGTCATGAGATACAGAAGTGTATCTCAGTTTTATACCAAACCATAGGGTTTTGACTTCCAACAAAATGAAGGCTTTTGTGTCAAGGAATCCTAAACCCAGCTATATTCAACTCTCTCTCTCTCAAAAAAAAAAAAAAAAAAAGCACTAAACATCCTGGTACAAAACTTGATTTCCTTTTCAGACTAAAATAAAAACATTCTGTGATCATACCACAGTCCATGGATTGTCCAGTATTCTGGAGGGTCTTGACAATCATTAGCACTCATCTGTGGGAAAAAAAAACCCACCCAGAATATTTGTTATATGTGTCCAGCGATAATTGTTTAGAAGAAAAAAAAAAATAAAGCTCATTCACTGGTGGTCCAAGGCTCTAGTGAGACGTGAGAACTTCTGCTTGCCCAAGTCAGGAACATGGGAATTCCCATTACTTGAGGCTGTCATGGATTGTGTCACTTTGCAGAGACCAACTGGCATTAAAATGATGAAGCAGATCAAGTATCAGAGGGCATCCTGAACAGGCAGTGTAAAAAGAAGGCAAAGGACAGGTTCTGACATAATAGAAAGTGTCCTGATCCATGCTAAATGAATGGAGCTAAATCTCTTTATCATATGTCAGCTAGCATCTTTCTGGGTTTTTCTCATCATCAAATCTTTTCAAGGAGTGCAGTCATTACAATAAAAACCATCAACATAAATATTAGACAAGCACACAACCATCTTTCATCATCCAGGAGTAGTTGTGTTGTTGTATTAAAAGAGAAAAACACAAAGAAGAGATTAAATAGGTTGCTTATTCCAAAATACTTTTTTTTTTTTTTAAGATTTTGATTTGAGGAACAAGGGAATGGAGAGAAGGGGAAAGACTATACACACTCCTACAAAAAAAAGTCTCCAATAGAAACTTTTGAAAATGCAGGAGAAATAGCCTACACATTAATTATTGATTAGAGCGGAGTACACATTCCTGAACAAAACCAAAAAAATCCATGTGCAGACATCACAGAATACTATTACTCTATTTTCCCTGGTTATTCTGCTTAGTAATTACGTCTCTTTTTACTAAACACTTTTTGCCATTAACTAACAACATCCTCAGACTTTATTTCTCCATAATAATAGCTTTCCTCTTCATCTCTGCATCTTGTCTTAATTATGCCACAACGCCTTTTATGTGATGCAAGAGCAGAGAGAGGCCTGTAATCTCACTAATTGCCTTCCACATGGCACAGGCCAGCAGTAGCAAAACCGCAAGCTCTGCAAGACTTTCTTGTTCTGTGCCCATTTCCTTCCTCTCCTCTCTTGTGACCAGTAATAGAAGCAATTAAACCCAGCAACAGCATTTTTCCTGAAAGGATATTTTCAACAAATACACCTAAACAATATTGTTCTTATCATGACACAAGCTTTGAGCAGCTGCAAGAGTTGAGCTATCCAGCCCAAAATACACCATATTAATAACCAGCAGCTAATGCATCATCCCCTGAAAAGCACTCTTGACAGCTAAACAGCTTGCTCAACCACGGGTGGTAACAAGAATAGTGCAACCGCACTCCTTATCCAAACTTTAACTGCAGCTCTCAGACATGCTAAAGGAAAGAGAGTATTTTAAATTTTGAATAAGTTCTCTCATATCATGGCACTAACCTTATTAACGGTTTCTTCAACACATTTCATCAGGCTCTTGGTATTACACTGTGTGCTGGCAGAACTGTGAGGTCAATGCAACCTACAATGCATTAGCTCACACTTTGTGTGCTTAGGCCAGCTTCATTCATCCTCCTTCTTAATTCTAGCCGTAATATCTTCCAATGTTCGTTATAAATCAGTATCATAAAATGAGCAAACGCTAATCTGAGAAACTGAGTACCCATCCTGCTTCTGCAAAAACACTTCTTGACAGCCTTCCTGTTTATCACATACTGATCACTGAAGGACTAATTCAACCTTGGGCAACCATTGACTCGAAACGGTTACAAATGTATATTTTCAGGTACCCTGAAAAGCCTTCTATATCTAGATTAATTTGAAAATGGAACATTGTTTTCTCCTGTTTTAAAGCAATCACATATTCAAACCAATCCAAACTAACCAGACGTGGTCTGTAACACCGAGAAAAGTGCCAGTAAGCCTTTACAGCACCCATCATGTTGAGAGGGAATGCTGCAGCAGAGAGATTAGCCTATTTGTAACAGCAAGACATCAAGCAAAGAGTAGCTGCCAGGAACATGGAAGCTTCTTTCACCTCTGAAATGTCAAAAAGTGAAACACCAAACTGTCATGAAGTGTTACCTGTAGATCTGCCCAAGTTACAAATCCCCTGGTACAGCAGCTTGCACATAGAAGAGGGTAGTGCTACCAGATCACATACAGATACACCAGGTTTGAATATAAAGGTAGTTTCTGAGAAGTGAAATATTTAATTCTGCTCTTCCTTTCAGCTACTCTGTTTAAGTAGGCCATCATCAATTTTAAGTGTTATTTTGTAATGAAACATCATGACTGCTATGAAAACCCCTTGCTTTTGAAACTGTGAAGAGACTTCAGCTCTTCAATTTCTCTCCCCCAAATAGTGTGGAATTATTCCCCTTCCTCCTTCACCCTACCCCCTGGGGTAAAACCAATCAATGAACAAACCAAACTGATAAGGTTGCTGAAAAAAATTGGAATGAGGGAAATGAAACAAATTTACTTCTTGTTGAACACCTTTCTGGCACAAGCTGATAAGCTAAAACCTTTCATGCGTCAATCCTTACAGAAGATAAAGACTCACAAAAACATCTAAGACCAGACTGTATTCAGAGAAATTGGAGGCACAGATTAAGAATTATCTTATGAGTCACATGGGCATTTTAGAAAAAAAAAAAAACAACACAAAAACCAACAAAACCCACAACTTTCCTCTTTCTCCAAAATAGCATATGTCAAGAGCTGGAGTCACTTTGACACACCTGGCTTAATATACAAACCCTTCATCTAAGGAACTTTCTGATCTAATGCTAGATCACAACTGTGCACTGCCCTCAGCCACTCTAATTCCTTCTATATTATGTGACTACCTCTATTTTTAACAAAAACAAAGAAAAAATAGCATTTCTAGTCTTCCTTTAAGACTTTGCTATAAAATTGAGAAAGCCTGAAATTAGTAAACCATTTATCTCACATAAAAAAAAAAAAAAAAAGTTTAATCTGCTGCTGAACACTGCATTCAAACTTGAATTCAGGCTGTTCTGATCATCAACTCTATTCTGTTGCCCTTTTGTTGATTCTTTCATTTGATCAGCACGTATGTGCAGTAAAAGGCAGATGACAGTAGGGTTTAGTATCCATTTCTTTATCATCCTTCCCATTTTAAAGAGAGGAGGAACTGAATAGCCTAAAAATTTGCACCAGATTTTCCCCATTTCACAAGGAAACACCCACAGAAGATTTCATCTCTTTACATTTTCCAAGCTGCAAAGACTGCAATAGCTCTCTTTTTAAGTTGTATTAAAGATCTTCACAACTCCATAAAGGGGAGGGGGAAATTCCCTCTTCTTGCCCTTAAGTTGCTTCTATTTCCACCTAACAGGATTCATCTTAATTTGTGACCAGAAAGTTTAAGTGTGACAAGAATTACCCACACGAAGTTCAACAAATTGAACCACTGGTATAATTTTCTATCAAAACATTAAATTCTTAATCACTTGAGGTCTGTGAATTTAGCTTGGATATTTTTGTAGAAGACATAGGCACTTTAGGTCAATTAATGGTACTGGAATTTCTAATCACATGATGAGAACATCTTTTCCTCCTTCACTCAACTACTGACTGCTGCAGTGATAAAGTCCTGAGGTTATTTATTGCTTTCATGATACTCACTATTTTAATAGGTTAGTTTAGAAAATATGATTAGAAAACACTTACTTTCCAGTTTAATTATGCCAGTCACACTCAGTATTAAAAAGCACCAGCTGAACACATACAGTTTAAAGCACAGGCAGAGCTGGGAGATGTGTATTCTCAGATTTCTGGCATGCTGAACTCTGCCCACTGAATTTTAGAAAAGATCTTTCAGGACTTCAAAAGCCTGAAAAACTTTTTGAGCATAGATATGCAAAAGAGGTAGGAATTAAGATGTAGGTCATCCACACACCTATACAGAACATTATGCAGTGAAGCAGTCTATAATCAGGTTCCTTTACATAGGAAGCATAAACTAGTAAGTAGTTGCACAAAGTAGTGTCTCATAGGTTTTTTTACATAAATGATATAACGAGTTCTGTGGTTTCCTTCACCCAGCTATTTCTCCTTTCAACATCATGTCAACAGTTTTGAACTGAAGAATGACATTAAAAATACTTCCTCCCTGAAATAACACAGTAATCATATATAAATACACTGAACATGCAGAAGAATATGTGCTTTAAAAAAACCTCACAACTGAATTTGGGAACTTCTCTCACATTGTTAGCAAAAAGAAAGCACTTATGGGAGTATAGTTGATATTCTGTTTATTTATATGACTTAGTGATGTGAAACTGGGAAAAAAAAAAAAAAATCACAATATTACTTTAATTTCAGGTTTTCTTTACTCCTTTGAAATGTTTCTGTCCACCTCTCACTACAGGAGATCGTAAAGAATCAAAGTGTAAGAAAGCCTACATTTTCTGATACTTACTATCCTCAATTATTCTTTACGATTTCTGTGGAAATTATAAAGGTTATTTGTCATTTTACCAATAGCACTAGCCTGGAATTAAGACTAGTAGCTAGTATGAATAGACAGTGGGAAAACTGGTTGATAAGAGGTTTTGTTTGGTTGGTTTGTGGGGTTTGCTTGGTTTGTTTTTTTAGTTTGTTTACATCTCATCTATACAAGCAAGGGTTTGCACTGCTACTGACTCTGAACGCCCACTCGTGCCAGGCACTGCAGACTCCTGAACACCACCTCTGCTTGAAGTCAATGATATTTACTCAACAGAAAATCAGACACAAATTGAATCAAATATGCCCCTATTTGCCCTCAAAACCAGGCAAACAAACAAAAAACAGAACAGTGGTCATTCCCTGGTCTCAGTTAGTCATCCACATCTTAGTTTTGTTATTGTTACTTCCCCTCCTCATTTAACTAATGTAAAGTACATTTAGGCAGTATGTGACTTTTGCTGCTACTGCTTTTATACATACTTCCAGAAATAGGAATGAGAAATAAAAAAAATCTAAAGTACAAAAAAATAAGACTTTAATATTGTAACAAATAAGTCTCCCAGAATCAGGACATTTTTTAGTCCCGAGACATTTGCCCCAAACTGAAGCTTCTCTATTATCTACAGGCTTCTTCACTCTTGTGTCAGTAAATCTCATCACATCTTCCATTTTAAAGTATAGCATATTTTTAACCCAGCTGTATGAGAAGAGGCCTTTGAGTATTTCCAGCATAGGAAAAGTGTTCTACTTATCAGATAGTAGAAGGCATGTAATAGAAAAAAAGGACATAACTGGTACACCTTTTAGTTGTGGTTTTGACAGACATATGTTGGAAGGTTGGGTTCACTTTTGTTTCCCATCTCTCAAACACAGAAATGCTCAAACACCTGCCTTAACAGCTTTATAGCTCTCTTTCCTGACTGATCTATATTTGATGGATGATTATTAAAATGCTGGACCCAACATTACAAAGCTAAAACTTGTGCAGCAGACAGTTCAAGTACTAATCTGCCGTCTTCAGTTAGACAGGGCAGGTGAATGTCCTTACAGGGTCTGGTGAAAGTCTAGGATTAAGTTTACAACTAACAAGATATCACAAAATATATAACAAGCGATTAAGGCTCAATGTACACTATGTCCTACATTGACTATTATCTGTAACACACAACAATCCTGTGTTGTATACTGCTACTCTGGAGTGCAGGAAAAATAGCAAAAGTTGCATCAAGATCAGTGAAAACCTTTATAAAGATTTAAGAGCATAAGCAAGATTAAATGCTTAATGGGCTTTGTTCATTTTGTTTTCAAACATTTTATGTCAAAGGATACTTTTGTTAGGATAAAACCACAAAAATCTCACCTTACATACAGTCACTGGCCAATGATGAGCAAGATACAGCTTCTTCCAGGTATGAGGGTGGTTGTCACTGGAGAAAGACGGACAAAACTATTTTTCCTTAGCATTTTAACAAGAGCAACACCAGCAGCACTATGCTTACTAGTAAAATGCACTGATTTTAGAGCTGGTTGTTGCTTATAGCTTGTATCACAGTATTTGAGAACTTGAAACACAGCGGGACCAAACTAACAAATCACATAGGAACAACTTATTTAGAAACCTGCTAATACCTCCCCCACACTGTTAAACAAATTCAGCTCCTGGCATCCTACCTCCATAGTCTTTCTATTTCTTAAATACAAAAGAAATACATTATTCTGTTTTATATTTAGGAGAGTGCCTATTGACAAGCTTTTACACTAATAATAATAAAGATATCTTTGTTTAGGATGTTAAAAATCTTCTAATTCTTCTTGATGGGTATATTAGCCGAAAAGAAAGGATACAACATTCTTGGAACTGTAACTACTCTTCTACAAAAGAAAGACTATAACCAACCATAAGCAATGTAGTTGACACTGTAGGAGATCCAATTTGATCTTGCAAGTATCTCCAACCTTTCAGATCAAAAAAAAAAAAATCAGAATAAAAAGTAAAAACCATTGTATTGGGTTTGCATGGCAAGGTTTTGGTAGCAGGGGGCTACAGGGGTGGTGGGCAGCTGCTGATAGAAGCTGCTAGAAGCTTCCTCTGTGTCTGATAGAGCCAAAGCCAGGTGGCTCCAAGACAGACCTGCTGCTGGCCAAGGCTGAACCCACTGGCAATGGTGGTAGCACCTTTGTGAGAACATATTTAAGAAGGGAAAAAATCCTGCTGCGTAGCCTGCAGCAGAGAGAGGAGTGAGAATATGTGAGAGAAAACTCTGCAGGCACCAAGGTCAGTGAAGAAGAAGGGGGAGCAGATGCTCCAGGTGCCAGAGCAGAGACTCCCCTGCAGCCCGTGGTGCAGCCCATGGTGGGGCAGGCTGTGCCCCTGCACTCATGGAGGTCCATGGTGGAGCGGAGATCCACCTGCAGCCCAGGGAGGACCCCACGCCAGAGCAGGTGGATGCCCCTGAAGGAGGCTGTGACCCCATGGGAAGCCCACACTGGAGCAGGCCCCTGGCAGGACCTGCACACCTGCGAAGAGAGGAGCCCACACTGGAGCAGATTTTCCATCAGGACTTGTGACCCCGTGGGGGACCCACACTGGGGCAGCCTGTGCCTGAAGGACTGAGCCCCATGGGAGGGACTCCATGCTGGAGCAAGGCACGAGTGTGAGGAATCCTCCCCCAGAAGAGGAAGGAGTGGCAGAGACAGCATGTGATAAACTGAACTACAACCCCCATCCCCTGCCCCCCTGCACTGCTGGCGGGGAGAAGAATAGAGAAAATCAGGAGTGACAGTAAGCCTGAGAAAAAGGGAAGGGTGAGGGGAAGGTGTTTTCAAGATTTGGTTTTATTTTTTATCATCCTACTCAAATTTGATTGGTAATAAATGAAACTAATTTCCCCAAGTTAAGTCTGTTCTGCCCATGAGAGTAATTAATGAGTGATCTCTCCCTGTCCTTATTTTGACCCATGAGGCTTTTGTTGTATTTTCTGCCCCCTCTCCAGTTGAGGAGGGGGAGTGATAGAGCGGCTCTGGTGGGCACCTGGTGTCCAGCCAGGGTCAACCCACCACAATCATAAATCTAAGAAATGCTGACTTAATAATTTTACAGACATTTATTTAAAATACTATGTTTTTAAAATGCTTACTATAAATTAAGTAATTTTTAACATTTAGTAAATAATCAACTCTAACAGTCTTAAGATTACCTAAGGAAGAACTAAAGAAGGAATATCCCATACTTTACAAAAGCACTTGTGTTTCAAAGCCTCTGAGAATAAAAAAAAAAAATTTGTAATTTAACAGAGACATCAGTACTATGTTATTCCTATGCAGAGGAAAAACAGAACCTTAAAAATTTTGTTCAAAAACTGTTGGAAGCCTGTATCATGTCTTTGGTACTTCTACAGAGGCATTTTCCAACAGTTAGGAGCAGACCTCTTCTGGATAAACTAGAAATAGATAAAAAAACCTGTTGCTTCAGACACTACAACAGATATATTCAACCACACTAAGTGATTAAATAGAATATCAAGTGGGAAAAACTAATCAACAAAACCAGAACTATATTTTGGTCAAACTGACAGCACTATGTGCAGTACTATCAAAACAAATTATTATTATTCTCTGGAAGCTAATAGCCACACGTCCTTTGTTAGTGCTTGCCATAGGTTATATAAAAAAATACATGAGAAAACTAACCCTTCTCAACCTGAGGAAGTAGGGATGCCCCCATATTACATCACTTCTCTTTTTTTTCCTCTAGTTTTGTTAATATGAAATGGCCACATTTTCTCTTAGGCATTCACATATACCTGTGTTTGTTAAATAATTTAGCAGAATAGCTCTGGAACAAATCAAGCATAGACACTATGAAAACTATTAACACTTCTAACTGGTCTTTACTGCTGCTGTGAAAACCTGAATAGAAGAATTCCCCAATATTGAAGAGCAATTAGTTTCTTTGCTTTAAAAAACCAGCATCTGTCATCTGTATTTGAAATAGCATCTGAACTTCCGCAATGACAATCATGCCAAAACAAGTTCTCCTAGAACACACTTTTTGGCTAAGGATAGGTCTGAAGACTTTGGTTATTAAACAGAGCAAGTTTTAGAAACTTAAGCTCAGAACTTAAATCCAAGGAAAGCCATTTTCACTATCTATCCAGCTTCAGGGATACCTCCCCTTTTTTTGATCCTAGTTATGCTGCTCTGTGCCATTCAGCACTGTGCCTCTAAAGCTGCCTCTACTGCCAAGATGGCCAAGCCGTTGCCCAGGTCCTGGCATTTCACAAAACCTCAGTAGTATCTAAGTGACCAACCAGCTGCAATGTAGCCATTATATGAAACTCAGCACTGAAATGAACACCCTTAACCATTCTCTTGCCAAAACACTGAAAGGAAGGAAAAAAGTTTATTTCCTCATATAATGCAATAGGAATCTGAGATGCTACCACAGCAGGGTCCAGGCCATGGTTCCCCCATGGTCCATTAGTATTCAAGCTCAGATTTTGCCAAGTGCAACAGACACCAAAAGGATGGACAGCACTGATACAGACCCAGCTGGGATGCTGTCTGTAAAGGAATTTAAAATTACTGGAACTGAGAAAACAGAAGGGGAAAAAAAAAAAAGATACAAAAGTGTACAGTGTAACAGTTGGTATAATTAATGCCATAGGGATGATTCTGATTTTTTGTTATAGGTCCCAGATTTATTCCTGATTTTGTCACTACTACATCACGAGTCTAAGTGATTCATTTAAAGCAAGATTGCAAAGTTTTTAAGTGCAATGAATGTAATTTAAGTTTCCCTCTTTTTTCATGCTGACACATTACTAAACGTAAAGCTTTTCTTAGGCATGACACCCACTCCTCCAGTTAATGCAGATGCCTCATTTTACCAGGCACCTAAGGGAAGAATAAGACATCAAAACCAGTACATAATAAAAAGAAAATTCACACTCATTAGAAGATAAACTATTCTGCTCTGCACTTATGAAAGAACTGTCAGATTTCTTTTTAAAGCATAACTTACCTTTGAGTGAACTTATCTGAAGCACAGCAACAGCATAATGCCACAGAAAAACAACCCAGAAACCAACAGTGCAGCTTTGCAGGCTTCATTTTGTTAATCAAATAGCTGTAAAAGTGTTAAAAGAAGAAATCTGTTACTTATCCAATCCACAAAATTGCAAGTCTTAAAATGCAGAAAACCACAACTATCTCAGAAACAGCAAGTAATATCAACTCTGGACTAGATTTACAGCCATTGGTAAATGAGGATCTCTTTTAAGGCTGTGCCCGATTCCCCAGCTTGTATGCTAATTTTCATAAACTAATGGCATCAAGGATGAGATTATGGTTTCTTGACCATTTTTTTTTAGCTTGCACACGGTACCAACAGAGCCACTTTCCAATAGAGATATATAAATCTTCTATGCAACCATACTTTATGTAATTTAAGACTCTACTTGTGGTCAGCTCAAATGCTTAAAGCGATTCATTAAAGAAACTTTGAACTTAACATTAAACATTTGTGTTGGATTGACCAAGGCTAATATTAGAAACTCACTGGAAGTGAAGCATGATGTCCAAGGATTAAATTCTCTCTAAATGCCAGTTGACTACTAAACTGATGTTAAAAAAATTGCTGCTAAAACCAGATTAGTTTCTGTTCTTGTTATAAACCCGAGACAGCCTCTACGAAACCATGCCTATCTGCCTACTACCTCATGAACCCTAGAAATCAGGAGAGAAGAAACAACAAATCAACTTAACTTTCACCAGCAGGAGGACTTTTGCTTGACACAGGTCAAAAACCCCCAGTTGCCTCCTGCATCTGCCAGCCATTTCAAATGCTACCTCCTAGATGACAGAAAGAGATGTACATGCATGTATTTACATGCGATTATTAATGCCTCACCCAACCTACTTTCCAACTTGCTCATTTTGAGAACCCTAAAAAAAGCACAAAACACTGCATGTAACCTATGGGCCCCTTCTAAGATGGCTCATATCCTTTTTTTGATATGGTTTAAAATTAATCCTTTCTTATAAAAGTCAAATAAAGCCTGTTTTGATACCAGTAAAAGACATTGCCGATTCAGCCATTACATCTAGCCTCAGTAAATTCGGTGTAATTCTGATCCATGGCTCATTAGAAACAAGAGTCCATTTTCCCACCATTATGGTGTGGCTCTGGACCCAGCCTGCAGGCGCCCTCCTAGCGATATACCCCGCAGTTCTGCAAACACTGCAGCAGAGCTGATGTACACATGAGTCAGCTTCACAGCTTTCAAAATGTGTTGAGATTTCAAAACCAGTGAGGGGTTTGGGCAACAACTGTAACAGTTAACCAGCTAGATTCATCACAAGGTTTTGCTAAATTGTGAAGTGACAGCCTTTAAGATATTTATCTATTTAATATATTAATGTCTCTCTAATTTGTAATGATATATTATCAAGTTAAATGACTTGGCCTAATAGAAGATATTACTAGCTAAATATTAGTTGACAACCATTAATTTTGTGATCTAGTTTCTTAAAAATGGTCTGAAGGCTCTTCATTCACCAGACAAGATGACCATAAAAAATTTCAAGTGATTTGGAGCATCCTACCTATATTTAAAAAAAAAAAGCGATTTAAAATGTAGAACTAATCTTCACCAAAAGCTAGCTAAAGATGTACACCGGGTATTAAAGAAATTGATATATTCACAGTGATACAACTAAAAAAAAACCAAACCAAACCAACATAAATAGCAAATTAACTGCCAGGTATCTAATTTCCCCAAGGGTGATCTCAAGTCTCATCACTTGAGCAGTAGGCATTAACGATGCAAGATTCATCCTTATAGACCTGTTTTATAATTTCATCTACTGTTATTTTCAACTGACAACCAATCAAGCAAGACTTCATTTTTGGGCATGATGAACTGTCTACTCAAGTTAAAGCATTGAGAGATGTAAGAGGTCTTCATGAAAGATTCTGCCCTGCCTATAAAAAGCACATTTCTTCAGAGAGCAGAAAGTATCACTTAAAAGACAATAATGTTACACACCATCACAAAAAAAAAAGGCTGCACTGTACGAGGGTGCGGAAAAAAACATCTTAAGGAAGTAGATTATGAAATAAAAATAAGCCAGCAAGCATTATGGCATTTCTTTTGCAAACTGGTATGACTTAAGATGGCAGGCACAAAGAAACTTTTTTTCAGTGACTGAGTTACAAAAAAGCATAAAGGCAGTTTTCTCCTTTTCTCCTTAAAATTTGATCAAATAATGACCAGAAACAGAGGGGGGTTCAAAAAATGCTGCTATCAGAGTAATGGAATGTACTGGTTTATTCTGCATATTGCTCTGAACTCTGGAACTAAAGCACAGGGACAAGAGAGACAGCAGATCGGAAAACCCCCAATGTGTAACTTTTATATAACAAATTATTTTTTTTCCACTGATAAAAAATACATAAACTCTAAGGTTTTAGCTTGAAAGCCAATATTGCAGCTATCATGACAGACTGTATGATTTACTCAAACTGACCTTTTATTAGTCTGTGACATTGTTGGTGGGAGGTGAAAAGTGCATCGATCCCACCTGAAAAGCATCCGAATGATGCACAGCTGAGGAAATACACATCGAAATTAAAACTGTATTAACTACTACCATGTATAAAGCACATTGAAGTCTTACAAAAATCGCTTCTGTTTACTAAAAATTACACTGGATTACTAATTCCACAAATACAAGAAAGAGGAGATTAACAAACTTTACACCAATTCTACTCTATTAAGAAGAAACAGGGACTTTGTATTATGAAAATTAGTTATAAAAAGCCATAATATCCCAAAAGACTTCATAATGAAGAAAACTTAAAAATGAAACATACACATAGATAAAATAATTATTTGAAACTAGAGTATCAACTCATTTTCGCTACAGATAAAATTCCAAGGAGTAAGAATAGCTTTGGGAATGACTCATGGTTCTACACCTGGATAGGAATGCACAACACTTGTGTGTGGGTTAGTAGCTGAGTCAGGACAAGGTCACTTTCAGATGTTTTCACTGTTCAATGCCAGTATCAAAATCACCTGTCCAAGCTTATCAAGGATTAAGGAGAATTTATAATAAGTGGTGATTAAATCTTTCTTTAACACATTTACTAGCATTTCAATTCTGATATAACATTTGAGGGGGATGCCAACATAGCATAGCTTCTTTTGGACACTAGCAGTTATTTGTATGCTACTCCCTTATTTTCTTTTTTTGCTTTTAACAAACTAGCTTGACTAATAAACCCCACATTCACATAAAATTTCCTGGATTACACTTTAGTTTGGGCATATAGACTTTTATAGAAGAAGCTGCAGAAGAGCACTTAAGCATTAGCAAGAGGATTCCCATGGCTAACAGCATAGCACACATGAAGCTAAGTGTCAGCAACTACTGCCAGAGATAAGAATTAGGACAGCTACTCTGGCATCTAAAACCCACAAAAATCAACACCCAAGGTTTTGTTACCATCTCAAACAAGGCAGCACACACTACCTCTGCCACAAGTTAGACACCGAGTTACAAAACTGTACACCAGAAGCATTAGTTTAATTTGTAACAACACTCAGCTCTGGCAACTTTTACCTCCAGAGCCTGCTCTCATTTTACCATTCATCCCAAACCCGAGTGCTGGCCTAAGTAATTTGAAAAAGTGCTTTAAAGATTTTTCAGAGGTACTACTCACGTCCACTGACACAGCAAGGCTTTTAGCAGAACTTCCTCACCGCTCCTCTCAAAAAGTACAGTTCAAAGTCAGATTTATAAAGCAGGTATGTTTACTCCAGTGCTGGAGTACAAGAGGATTTCTCCACAAAGCTTGCACACCCACCACACATTTTACCAGAAACTTATAGAGTGTGGATATCCATATTCATTGGATTACATAATACAAATACACATGTGCAGAAGTAAGGATGGGTTAGTTCAAAAGGCTGGTGTCAGCAGTTTATGCTATCTTTGCGCCTGCACATTGCATCCTCGTGGTCATCTTTGCGGTTCTTTTGGAGGAAGACTCACAGTCCTCCTCACCTTGTACTTTTCCTCGGAACACGTGCAGATTCTCTTAGCCAATTTCTTGAACAAGAGGTGTTCCAGCTAGTTTACCACCTCTATCTTATCTAAAAGGAGGAGTGTATTAGTTTCTACTGCCCATATATGGCTATCCATCCACTATAAAGGCTCAACTTGTCAGAACGCACCTGCTTTCCAAGGACATGTCTCTTATTTTTGCCAAACATATTAGTTCTTGGTAAGTTTCCACAGACAGTCAGGGCAAACAGGATTATTAAGCAATATTCAGAAATCATAATATAAGTTGCTATAAGTTAATAAATTGCAAAGCAGGCCATCATTTCCTTGTATCAAAAGCAGAACGTGTGCAGCAGTGGATTTATGGCAAGCTGGCAGGAGCTCAGGGCTGTGCTCAGCCCTTCCACTGGCTTCCTGGGAAAGTCTTGGGGAAGGCCGCACCTTGCTTTCTCCACACATGAACTAACATGCTGCTTTACTTTTAGCACACTGTTGTAAGGTTCAACCTCCTGACACCATAAAGCAGTTGCTTCAGATAAATAATAATCACATTTTATTGCATAGGTGTTTTCATAAGTTGTAAAGAATGCAAAACAGGAGAGAACCCAAAGCAGGATACCTGCAAGTCTCAGAAGGATGCCAACGCTGCTGACAAGCGTACAAAGAACTTCAAATAGCTTTCCCAACTCTGAAAACTCTGCAATTTCTTTAGCTGACTTTCCATTTGCTCCACCGGAAATTTAAGGCATAAGAAATCAAACCTGATATGATTTGAGCCCTTACCGCTACCAGTCCTGCAAATCCCACCTAATTTGGTGCAAAGCGGCAATCTCACCGGAGGCACCAGGCCGAGGAACTCGCAGAGAAACCTCGGGCAGGCCGCAGGCTAGCTGTCCCCTGCCGCCACACGCAGGGCAAGGGGTAGGAAGAGGCAGCCGCAGGGACGCCGGAGCCGAGAGCCTTTCAGACCCGACCTCCGCTGCCTCACCCCAGCCCTCCCCTCGCCCCGGCCCGCGTTACCTTCCGCCCGCTCCCCCGGCCCTGCCGCGCAGGAGCTCCCCGCAGCCCGGCCTGTCCCAGGGACGCGCTCCCAG